CTGTCTGTCTCCAGCTGTCCTATCGAATAAAGGCATAAAAGCCGAAAAAATATACTTACAAAAAGAAAATGTTTTGCAGCCCTAGACCCTCATCTTTTCAGTTTATAAATGGAGTTACTCAGCCCATCCACTTTCTACCTGTATTAAATGTTTTTCCATTTTGACTTCTTTGTGGTCATTTTAAATTTGTTCAGTAACACAAAAGAACATTGAAGAGAAGGGTGACTGGCCTCTGGGAGATTTTTTTCTTTATATAGATGTTTGGGCTTTTATCAGATGCTCATGCACACTTTGCCACAAGAGGAAGGCAGCCAGGGGTTCAGTGTCTTGCTCAAAGACATTTTCAGAGGACACGTAGGCCCCTGAGGCACATACTTGTGGCTGTTAAGGGTTCGGTCCTTTTGTTAATAGTGTTGTTTTGCCAACTGTAAGGACAAACTGCCATATGTCAGATGATGATGGAATAAGTTTCCACCATCTACACACACCTAACACCAACTTGTGTCCTCTTCCACAACCCTTCTTGTTTTCTTATATTTTTGTTTACAAATGTTAAGCTTGCTCTCTGTTTGTTAGCTGATACAGTTATGTTGCATCGGCAAGAAAACATGAACTAAGCTTTCATACGTTGCCTTCTACACTGTTAGTTCCACATAATACTGAAGCTCCTTCTGCCTTTCAAACCATGCACCATTCTTTGCTTTGGTTATGAGAAAAATGAAGCAAAGTGCAAGCCCCAGGAAATTCAAGCATCCCCACCGAAAGTGAGCTGGGCCCAGTCCGCCTGTGCAGAAATATCGGATTTCTCCGCAGCCATAGAAGTAACAGTAGTGCTTGGTATTGATCAGGAACTCATATGGTAGTTTTGTGCAAAGGCTAAACAAAATATTATTGATTGGACCTTATTAGGGATAAACCTACTACTTACTATAATATTTAATATTATTTCATCATTTTCTAGGTTCATCGGGTGATGACAGACAGAGCGTAGCCATGAAGGATTTATTGGACGCCATATATCCCAGAGTCGACCGGCCAGACTACGTTGTACGACTGGAGCCCATTCAGACCACTACCAAGGCCGTGTTCCAGTACCTCACCACAGAGGAGGAGCTGGCGAGATATCCATCGCACACACCCAGGTAGGTGGTATGCTGATGGATCAAAATGTCCTGTAACTTTTCAAATCTAACTTACTTGTCAAGACCCTCATTTTGTTTATGGGATTTAAGGCTCCTCGCAGCCCTTCCTTGTCTCTGACTGTTTGTCTCAATGTCCTTCACAGTGCCAGAGAGAGTCCGGTAGCATGGGAAGGAGAACCAATGGAGGGTGTGGACAACAACCAGCCGAGCCAGACGGGAGGGCCAGAGAGCCACAACAGCCCGGGACACAATCAAGGACAGAGGAGATGGGAGGCTGAGGAGGAGACTAAAGAGGAGCAGCCACAGCTTGAAGACGAGGGGTCCACTAGTGGGGTAGGTGACTGGACACGTCAGGAAGCACAAGTGACAGTAAAGTTGGGGTGCTCAGAGTGAGTATCCAACGAAAATCAGTGCATGTACATCTTTAAACTGATTTTAGAAATACTTGTCATGCCTGAGATGTGTTGCATTTTCATATTCTAATTGATAAAACACATTTTCCACATTGCCTTGTTTATCAGAATCACTCAATCCCCCTCTTCTTTGTTCTCTCCCTCCCATCCAGGTCGAGGATGTTACAATCTCCTGTTGTCTGTGCGGTCAGGACTTTAACTCTCGCCGCAGCATCAGACGTCACTGCCGAAAAATGCACCAGACCAAACTGGAAGAGCTCCGAAAGTTCACAGAGACGCGTACAGTTCCCACAAGCCTGCTCTCTATGGTGAAAGGTAAGATTTGATGCAAATTACAGTGAAATAATTGAATATGGTAATTTAGAAATAATATTTATTGTTGTTGTTACTGCAGGACGGCCAAGGACTCTCAGCACACCTACTGGAAAATCCTGCCCAGTGTGCCTCAAAAGCTTCGCTACTAAAGCCAACGTACGCCGTCATTTCGACGAGGTGCATCGCGGTCTACGGAGGGACACCATCACGCCCAGCATCGCCTCGCGGCCCGGCCAGCCCTTCTCTCTGGAGGTCACACCCCCCAGGAAGAGCAACAATTCCTCTCCAACACGTGGCCACAGCTCCAAGTCGACCCCCGTGAACTCTAAAACAACGCCTTCAAACCAAAACCAGCCTAAACCTCAGAGTCCGCTCCCAGCCTCTCCGCAGGCGAACCCGGCCTCGTGTCGCTGCACGCTCTGCAAGAGGAACTACAGCTCTCAGGTTGGTTCGCTGCCCCGCTGGCAGCTTCAAGCGTTTCTAGCTTTTGATTATTTAAAAGTCCTGGCAGCAAGAGGCACTCTCAAGTTGTTCTTGTGGGTGGTATTTTACTATCGAAATGGGTTGTTGAATTGTAGAGTAATCATGTCTTTGATCTTTTGTCTGTTTATTTCAGCTCATGTTGAAGAGACACATGCGTATTGTCCACAAAATATATAGCATCAAAAGTAACAGGCCTGCCACCACGCCCACCTCCTCGACTCCAGCAGCCACTCCTAACAGCAGCAGCGCTACTGTAGTCCAAAGCAACAATATCCGCGTGAAAGAGGAAGCAGTTGAACCTTCAGATGAAGACGAGGAAGAGGACATCGACAGTAGCCCGGCCCCGTCTCCTAGTGACAGCACCGGGACAACAACTAAAGCTATTCCGGTGCCACAAAACACCATGAAGGTGAAGGAAGAGGAGGCCCCGTCGAGCCCAAAGATGACATCGTCCTTACCATCATCGGCTTCACGTGGGGGCAACACGTGCGGCGGGGGCGTGCCCGCCAAAATGACCAAACTGTCAGTGGGTTTTGACTTCAAGCAGCTCTTCTGCAAACTGTGCAAGCGACAGTTCAGCTCACGTCAGAACTTAACAAAGCACATCGAGCTCCACACAGATGGCAACGACATCTTCATTAAGTTCTACCGCTGCCCCCTCTGTCGCTACGAGTCTCGTCGCAAACGTGACGTCCTGCGTCATGTCACCGTGGTCCACAAGAAGTCCTCCGCATACCTCGCCAAGATCATGCCCAAACTGGAGAGCCGGGCGGTGAAGAGGCTAGCTGAGGTCGTCCTCAACAGCACAAACCCCACCAAGAGGACAGGCAGCAACATCAAAGAGGAGGTGAACGGACGCCACGCTTCTTCGCCGTCCTCCTCCTCCCCTTCACCTCCTGTCACTCGCAAGCAAGAGTGTTCCACAGCTCCCCCGAGCACCACATCAGCCTCCTCCTCCTCCTCCTCCTCCTCTAGCTCTGCCCCGCCCCCTGCCCCCATTACTCGGAAGCAGCAGGATGTCTCAACGCCGGCGCTCGCTCCTTCCCCTCCCGTCACCCGTAAGCAGGAGAGACAGCAGACCCACCAGCATCGCTCCATCAGCCCCCCACTGACCCGCCGCAGTGAAAAACACACACACCAACGCAACTCCTCCTCCACCACCTCGCCCAGCAACCAAACCCCACACACCCGACGGCACGACGCCCAGTCAGAGAGCAGCGCTACGGGGTCGACCTCCACTGAGGTCAGGGTGACCAAGAATTTCTCCCTCCACGCCTGCGACCAGTGTGGACGGGCCTTTGCCAAGAAGGTATTGTATTCTGAATCACTCTTTCAAAAGAAGCACTTTGCACACTGTGCCCTGATGAAGACTCTTGTTGAAGAGCCTCAGTGCTGTTGACTTAGATCAGAGACATTGACTTGCATTGATTAAGCTGAGCAATCATTCCCTAATTCCTTAGAAATCCCACCACCATATAATATTCTATGTTGTTCCATTATTTTAGTGTCACAACTCTCTGAAAAGAATTTGACAGAATAATCTCTCTTTCTCTCTGGTTGATGAGACTCTATTGTATTTATGTTACAGACTTACAAAGTCATATAATATCAGAACCATGCCACTGATAAAAGTGTTAAAGCAAGTTTAAGCTTTTAAGTTCCAAAGCAATTTTCCAGCTCCACAAATGTGATTATTTGTTGCTTTTCTCTGCTTTAAATGTAATATCTATGGGTTTTGGACTGTTGTCAAATGAAACAATACATTTATAAGGAATGTATTTTTTCTGATGTATAGGCCAACAAATGAACAGATTAATGAAGAAAATAATCTGTAGATCAATCCTAAATCAATGTAATACTAAAAAGACAGCTGATAATAAGGTTGCATTCTGTCATATCAATGAGTAATGAATCTGTAGATTGCTGTAAAATTCAAATGAAATGATCTTTTCCTCGTTTTGTGTTGTCAGCTGTACCTGGAGTCTCATAAGCGAAGTCATCGTAACGCAGCAACGGCAGCGGCCAACAGGAGGAAAGGAGTCAGCACCCGCTCCAAATCCCTGGCCTGGTGAAACCCACACTGTAAGAATACACAGGGTTTACCTCCTGTACCTGTTTCCCCTTCATCGCTCTATGCTTGCCCTCCTCACTTTTGCTTTTATTTCTTCTCTTGAGTTGCACTGGATTTCTTTGCATCATGTTTCCTCCCTCCTCCTCCTCCTCTCTCTCTGCTACAGCTGTGTATTCAGAAAACCACAAAGAGACTCTGCTGTGTGGTGTGAACTTGAGCAATTTTGTGTGTGCATGTGAGTTTACTTGTGATATATGAGTTTCCTTTGTGGCAAGAGAGGTTTGTGTAGAAGACCATTCCCCAGAGCAAAGATGAGCCACCGCAATCATCCTGCAGGCTTTCATTGACCGCTCCCTTTTACTCGCTGTTTCCTGCGTTCTCCCTCTCGCTTATGTCTCTGTGTCTCTCTGCTCATTAGAAATCTTTCTCTTTGTCTAACGGCTCTTTCTTCTTTATTTCCTCCCCTTTTTTCTCTCTTGATTCTTCCCTTTACTCTCTGTATTCCCTCCTTTCTTTTGTTCTCTTCCTTTCTCATCTGTCTCTTCTTCTCTCTGTTCACAGTCCGCCGGGGATAATGGACGAGTGAACCGCTAACAACGAAGAAACGAATCAAAACTTTCAACTGGGAAAAATAATGGACGGATGGAAGGAGCACAGAGCAGAGATGAAGGAACAAACAAAAGGAACAACGGAAAACGATAGAGGAGTGAAGTACAGAGGATTTCCACCTTTTGCTTTAGAACCAAATATATTGTTGGAATCTTTTTGTTGTTGCTGCATAGTTTCATTATGAAGCCAGCCAGCTTGCTGGACGGTGGCGCTGCTATCGATGGAGAGACCGTAGTGAAGAGATTCACTACACCTGTATATATCTGTATTTACTTACAACAGTATCTAAATATAGATCCATATGCAGCTGACTGATTCCTACTGCTTTGCTCTCGGTAAACTGCCTTTAGCAAAAGGATGAAGGTCCACTGTGACAGTGTGTGTGTGTGTGTGTGTGTGTGTGTGTGTGTGAGAGAGAGTGTGAAAGAGGTAGGGAATCAGAACTGGATCGTGGCCTCCACAGAAAATAGACTGGAAACAAAAGCTGATTTTTCTTTTTTCTCTCTTTTGTTCTCACTTGCCTAAACCCCGCAGTCCCACACAGATACAGAAAACCTATTTGAGTCCTTAAAAATCAGTTTTCCTTTTCTCTGTACCTTTTTATAATGTATACTTGATTTATTCAAGACTATTTGCTCGACATTACGACAGATCAACAGAAAATACAGTTTTTCCCCCTTTCCCTGACGACAGGAGCACTGCTGTGTCCTGCTATCTGACAGAGATACGCCGTACCCAAAGTGTTTCCCCCTGTAAGTCTTCTGCTCACCTAAGACTTGAAAATGATATTATTTCCATGTAAATGTTGTTACTGAGAAGCAAACAGATGACAGATCAGAATTCCAGCTGTAATATTCTTCATGAAAGCAGCCCATAGTCGGATTTGGTAACGTGTGGTAACAGCAGCTCGAGTCTTGTTTTAGAAGATGAAATGCTCATTAATTACATGTATGGTCAAAGTAAGGGAAACTAAACGTTTTGCAGTTTTTCTTTAAAATTGTGTGTGCGCTTATTTTTTTAAAACCTCCTCTTATAAATGTATAGTTATTTTCTGCCTTTTGTTGTTGAACTACATGTGAGAAACTTTTGTGAAGGGTTTCCGTTACTTTGACCGTACCCTATTTTACCTCCATATATTAGTCACTTTATTAGTCCCAATAATGGTTCTCTTCTAACTGGGTTACGTGAAGCATGGGTTCAATAAGACATCAGTTTGTGACACAAGACTTAAGGAGGGAGTTTTGTTTTCAGCTCAACAAAGAAACGCACAGATAAAAACACAGAAACATACAGACCCGAGGGAGTAAGGTTCTGAAACGAGGCAACCATTTAGGTTCAGATGTCACAACAGTGCCCTTAAGTGGCACTAATTATGACGATATGAAACAATACAAGGTGATACAATGATCATTTAAGAATTTATGCTTAATAGATATTAAATCACATTGGAATCAATTTTCTTCCAAATATGGATTATTTCTGAATTTAACAGCTGGGACTGTTAATGCTAAGGTGTGCTACCACGGGCAAAACTATTAAATTAACACCAACCATCACCCCCTACATGGTAAATCACTGTTAATGTGTGAGAATCCAATCAACAGTGAGCAGGAAAAATAGTTCTTCATCGACTAATAACACGTTTTACTGTCAACTAATGTGTGTTTGAATGCACAGCCATACTGCTTAACATATTAGAAACCATTAACTGGAAGACTTTTTCTATATGTTCTGACACTAAGAAAAAAAAAAATCACAGTGTTACTCCACTGCAACATCCCATTTATTGCTTTAACCCTTTTGGCCACATTAGAATCAGTCCTCAAACCCAGAGTGGGTGAGTAGACATTTCTCAGCTATAGTGCCTAAGCAGCAGGTGTAACAGGTTTGAATTGACAACCAGCTGTTTGGGAATCTACCGTTTGTGGTGCTAATCCTGATTATAACGGGCCAAAATGTGAACGCTGTAAACATGAGAGAGACGAAAAGCAACAAGCTCTGGTAAGCTAAACAGTTCAATTCTCCAAGTTTAAAAGTTTATCTTAAACTTTTAGTTCCATTAACAAACAAACAGAAAAAAAGATGCTGGGGCTCATTCAAATAAACCTTGTGAACTTTTTTCTTTTCAACCTTAACTGCTGCATCAGTTTCATTTAAAATGTGCTTTCATGTACTCAGTTAAAGGGTGGGAGGGCTGCATTTGCTTTAATGACAGCAACGGCACCCAGAGGTAGTCTTTGAAACACTGGCACATGAGTTGGGAGCGAAGGATTGAGGACGACCAAATGTAGATATGTCTTAATGTTCAAACAGAAAGCCATGAAATGGAACAAAACGAGAAAAAAGGAAAGACCAAACTTTATTTTTATAACTGAAAAATGCTACTGCAACAAGGTCTTGAAAACATGTATATACGGATTCATCCTACACGGATGGTATAAATAATAGTTATAATAGTCACAATAGTTATTGACTTGTACCTAACTGTTGGTTGACCATATGCTTCAATGTCTGACTAGTTACTACGCTGTCACTGAGGCAAGTTTGCATTGTTCCACAATTAGTTGTCTTTGGGTTTTTTTGCATCTCATTCCTTTTTAAAGGAGGTTTTTGTTGGACTGTGACAAGAAGAGAACAGGAATCAATCCTCAAGAGACTCTTAGACTCCTTTTTTTTTTAATCTTGTCATCTCTTTCATCATCAGTTGTAATATGTTATTAAGCTCACCTTCTAGAGAATCTGAGAAGAGTTAGTGAAGCATTTCAGATGTGACAAGAATGTTAAAACCAACCACTTAATAAATAAAAATGTACTGCTTCAAACCTCAGGGGGAGTTTTGTGTGGCTTCGTTTTTATTTTGTGTGTCCTCAGATATGAGTCATACGCTTTCCATCAATCATGTTTGTTTACAGCTCTTACAGAGAGGTGGTTTCATTTGCCTTCTCAAGAATTGCTTCTTTGGATATTTACATTTTCCCATATTTTTGAATTCCTTCTTTCCCTTTTCCACATTATTTCCGATGAGGCAATATGTCATTCCTTTTGACGTCCCTTAGAGTGATACAAGGATTTATGCCGGTGACGTCAGTAAGACACAGTGTTTTAGTGCATATTGATCCACATATAGAACCCGTGCCGGATATCTTTTGGCAGTGTGAATAAACTCAACTTAGAAACGGGACACATTTGTAACCAAAGGTCCAATTGGAAAAGATCTTTTACTGAGTTCCAGTAGAATATCATCAGTGTTATTTCTGTGTTGGTTTTGGGCGTCTGCTGTCTCCCAACATCCCCAACTTTATTGAAGCACAATAATAACCTAAATGTTTCTGCACATAACCTTCTTCAGGGTGTTTCTTTTCAGGGTAGAGGAAGGAAACTTCTCAATAGATAGAGCTAACATCACAGGAACCAAAACGTTTCAAAAAATGAATGAACCTTTGTTTTGCTGGAGAGGGGATCCGCACATCGGGAAGCCAGTCCGGCAGTAGTCCTTTAGACCAGAGATACACTAAAAGATCTATGGTACGTCCTGATCCCCATTTTACAGCGGCAGAAGAAATACTGATGATTTAGTCAAGTAAAGTAGAAATACCACACTGTATAAATACTATATTAGACTACAAGAACACTGAAAATGTTACTTAAATAAAACTATGTCACGTCAGCAAAATGTATTCAAAGTATCAAAAGTGAAAGTACTTAATGCAGAAAAATGGTGAGTGTTATATCATATGTTACATTATTGGAGTATAATTGCTGATGCATTAAAGTGCAAGTAGGATTTTACTCATGTCAATATGTTATTGATTGATGCAAGGAATGTAGAGAGGTAGAAGTATAAAGTGGCACCTCCAACCTGCACTGCATTATCTGAGTGCATTGGTTTAGTTACATCCACTCACATTTACCTCTAAAGCACCACCAACAGCAATTCCTGCACTTCCATTTTTGAAGGTGCCACCAGGTGTGAGAACACCCCCCTCTTCCTATTGCAATTACCCAACTTTGTCCACAAGATGGGGCCATTGCACCGCGTCCCCTCCACCGTTCGCCGCAGTGGTAAAAAGCCACAAATTGGACATGTTGCGCACATCTTCCACATTGTCACATCAGAGAACACCCGGGTCTGTTTCGATTGCCTGGTTTTCTCACTCCACACAGCTTATCAAATTGTTATTACACAGCAGATGGGATGCGGTTCATTTATTTAATTCCATTCACCACAAAGAGCCACGGCGCTATGGTTGTACAAGGGGGGAAATCAATGGGCGCAGTAAAAATGGATTGAAGTTCGGGGCAATTAAGAGTGTGGCGCAACGCCCGTGTGAGCATATTTTGATGACTTATTAATATGTTCAAATAACCAAAGCCCTCTATTGTGGAAACTATCGATCTGATTGATTAGTAATAAACTTGATGGAATGGGTGCACTCTGCAGGACGACAGTGGCGCAATTAGACGGTGATTTGGTGCGGGCGGGTTGAGCGCACTCGATGTCTGAATTACATATGTTTCATGTAGAGTGGCTTTTTTCTTTGTGTGTGTGTGTGTGAGAGTGTGTGTGTGTGTGTGTGTGCTCCGTTTGGCTGTGTGGAGTCGTGCGCTGTCCCTTTCAGCACCGACAAACCGGAGGAACCGGAGAGGAGTGAGTGAGCGCGCGCTGCCGTGGAGAAGGCACGAGTGGACTTCCACCTTTTTAAAAAAGGGATTTATGCGCAAAGTGCGTAAAAACTCGGAGAGGACTATGGATAGGAACCAGGTGGGTCTTTTTTAAAAACAACATTATTGATCATGGCTGACCGGATCCGTGTATGATGAATTCCTCTGCTCTCTCTCTCTCCCCTCTCTCACCCTCTCTCTCTCACTCTCTCTGTATCTGAGGCTCATTCTTGGGTATTGACTTCGTTACAGGCAGCCTCCCTCCATTGTCACCTTAAACAAGTGCGGGGATAGTAATTGCATTTTCAGCTGTATAATCTCCTCTGTTGGTCACGACGGATCACTTATAAAAAGAAAATAATATCTAAAAAATATCGGTTACGTATATATATTTTTTTCCTCCTCCATGTCTTCGCCTTGCGGATGGTCTTATTGTCTTTAAATCCGTTTTTTTTTTTTGCTGTTGTGGAAAAAAAAAAGAAAAATCTCACTCCAGGAGCTCTGATATTTGGGGGTCTTGCGGGGTGGTGGCGGGGGGGGAAGAGAAAAAGAGAGAAAATAAAAAACTGCTGAGCTCCGCAAGGAAGTTGCCTGAGGCGGACAGGGACCCCAAGGAGTCTGCGGAGGAGGCTGGAGAAGGCGCTTCACACACTCTCGGAAGAATTAGATTTTCTGAGGTATCTCATATCTACTATTATTTCGTAATTCCCCCCTCCTCCTCCAACCTCCCCATTCTGACTAAATGCTGTTGCATCCCTCTTTTTTTTCCCCCTTCTCTCTTTTTCTGTGGGTGTTTTCTCTCTGACATTCCTCTATAGGGATGGATTTTGGGCAGTCTGTCTTATTTATTGTCTCAATTTGTCTTGCAGCCTATTTCTTATGGGATTTTATTGATTTTTACTCATCACTCTCATTTCACATGGATCTTTTGCAATAGTGGTTAGGTGAGTAAATGTCTCACCAGCACATGGGAAGAGGTATGTTTCACTTAGTAACTCTATATTCCTTTTGGCATACAGTGTTTTAATGACAATGTGGAATAAGCTCCATAATTTGATCTCCCTAAATGTACCATTGCAGTGGTGTTTCTCTGCTTTTACTGTGGATGGCACTGTCTTAATTGGGGGGGTGCAATCAGAATACCACCGCTGCTGTACAGAGAGAAGCCTATAGGGCTGCATAATGAGCCTACACCCATAGACTTTGATCTCTTTCTGAACCTGTGGGCTGTGTTTTATCTCCAGACACATGACTTAATCACGTCAGAGGCATGTGTGTTTAAAAAACGATGCGTGAGCTATCTCTGTCTCTTAGCAATGTAAGCTGGGATTTTTAATGTGTTTATCCATGTATGGAAACAATTGGAATATGGCAGAGAAAATTGGGTGTTTTCACTTGTAGCTAACGCTGATGGGGAAAATGTGCTGTATTTGCAGATGGGTCCACAATTGCATTAAGATTTTTAATATATTACATGGGTGGATCCGGCTCATATACCTATGCATTTCAGTTAATATTTATTTATTTATTGCAGTCTGGGTAAGCCCATAACACGCTGAATTTGCGGGGAGAATCCACAGTGGGAGAAGAGGGAGGATCACCATTTGCATGCCTCCCTGGCCCACGATCTTGATAAAATTGTAGAAAGAATGCAGCTGGACAGTGAGAGAGATGGTTGGGATTGGAGCAAGGGGTAAGGAACAGGTAGAGAGAGAGAGAGAGAAGTGAGGTATGAATGAGAGGAGACCAAGAAGGAGGTGACGGAGAGACAGAGGGAGAGACCGACTGCAATTGTTGAACGGGAGACTCCGAAGAAAAAATAAAAAATCAACTACTGGGAGGGAGAGAACGAGGAGGGAAGGGAAGGGGAATCGGGGGAGAGACAGGGGCGGCAGAAAAGCTATCAGATTTTCTGAAAGACGCAGCGCGCTCCCCAGGAGAGGAGTGAAGGCCTGGAAGAAGGCGATCGGTAATAGAGGAGAGAGGGAGAGGAGGACTCGACGGCATAGGGAGAGGCGCAGAAAATGGTAGAAAAGTGGCTAATAAGAACGGGGAGAAAAGTGGAGGAGATGAACAAAGAATCCCTGTGGGTGGTGGAGGGAGAGACGAGAGAGCTGAGCGGAGGGAAGCGAGGCCAGGTGTGGGGATGAGTTGGAGGAATGAAACCGCAAAGGAGAGGAGATTAACAACAAACAGAGCAGAACAAGGAGTGGGTCAACTCCTCACCTAGACAAGGCCAGCCGTGCGGTGGAAATAAAAAGAGTGATGAGGCCAGCCGCCAGCCTCCTTGCCGGGTTTAACCCTCTGTCATCCTGAAACCACAAAGCCATCACAACCTGCAGGGGGCAAACCTCCTCTGTTCAGGCGAACGGTCTGCCGGGGCTTCCTTTTCTCAGGCTGCGGGGCAAGGGAAAAGAATCTGGGGGGGGGTTCTTGAGCCGTTTGTACAAGCCACCATAAAGTATAAGGACTCTCGTGGGAGCATATATCGAAAGGAGTAATATCTTAAGACTCAGGTTATTAAGAATAGATAACATATGTAGTAGGTGCACATTATTGGAGTGTGCAGACCCCCCCCCCTCCCCCCCCCCCACACCACCCACACAGCAGAATGTGAATAATTCCTGTACAAAGTGTAAATGAAGACCATGAAACTTCCCTTAACAACACTCAAGGGCCTTCAGTTTCAGTCAGAAAACGTTTCACCATTGGCCGCTGCTCTGATTTTTGGTGGCCCCCCTCTCGGGGACGCCTGCCATAGCTGTACATCTGAAGCTAATGGCTACAATTTTTAAATCATGCGCTCCCTCTGGATTAAATACGTCCATTAGGGGCTCATTGTAAGGTCCATGGGCTCCTTTGTGGTTGTGGGGAAGATTCCGATTTCGTATATCAAACAGTGGATCCTGTTAGACTTGTAATAGACTTAGGATTTGATTTTGTTTAATTGGGTTTATAAGTATGAATAGAGCAGGTACCAGCTCATGTTGGCATCTTTCTGTGCGCTTGAAGCCAAGTGAGAGCCTCAATCAAGGAAAACTGTTGAATAAGGGACAAGTATTTGGCAGTGAGTATGAATAGGCCTAACCAGTTATTATAAAGCCAGGGTTTTTAGATCATAGCGGTAGCTTGGCTGGGGTGTGGAGTGGCCTCTTGGAACCTAAT